TTCATTGTAATGGCCACACAGAACTCACAGACCATTCTCACAGTTATGGGGTTTATTAGGGAAGTAACAGGCTAAAATTCAAGATCAGGATCAGCTTGGAAGTAACAGGAACAACTCAGGATTACAGTTGTTTGATTAGGACAGCTTCTTCTTGACTGCTGCTGCTGGCCCCCGCTCTTGGCCTGGCCTCTGCCCTGCTCAGGCAAGTGTTACACAGCTCTTTAGCTCTGCAGTTAAGTACCCAGAGACATCCCACTCTGCCGTTATACTCCCTCCTGAAGGTGCTCAGCTTGAGCTTACTGGGATGGCAAAACTGACCAATCCCATCGTTAAGGTTCTATACATTTTATTTGCATGATCCCACCCCCACAAAGGCTCCATGCACCTTATATGCATTATTATCAGGCTGTCCCGAATTCTCTTGGTGAGCCACAAGCACCTTTATGCATAATCCCATCCAATCATTTTGTGGGAGTCACAAGACCATGGCTAAAAGGGTCATATTAATATAAATTCACCACACAAAAGGGACTCTTAGCTCTCTTTTTCCATCTTGGTCCCAGAATGTTGACAGCTGATTTTACATCCCACCCACACCATCCATGCCCCATTGCACCCAGGAAGTGACTGGCGGAGAAAAAATTTTCAGATACTGACATTTGGGAGTTTCCCAGTGAAAAAGCCAATCACCGTGCAGTAAAGCCAAGCAGCTGACAACCTTGTCCCGCACACACGTACAAAAAACCAAAAATCAAAAAACCCAAACCCATTGCCATTGAGTCGATTAGGACTCATGGTGACTCCATGCAGGGGTGGGATTATCTAATAGACAAGATAAGCATGATACTCATTTTGCTTACCAGATCATCTGTAGTGAACAATTTCACATTTTTTCACCATGTCAAACAGTCTGTTTCAAGGTATGGCTGGCATCTGTCCCTCTCCCAATCATATAGCACCTACCTACAGAATCAAAGCCTCTTTTCAAATTTACAATCCTTGACAGGGGCAGATGACCCAGTAAGCAAAGTAAGCACAGGCTTACTTGTGCTTACTTAGTAATCTGTAGTGAACATTTTCACATGGGTTTTACCACGTCAAAGATACTCATAACATTAATAAAACCATAACATCTAAATGTAACCATAACTCTAACCTTAAAACTAACCCAAATCAAACTCTAACCCTAACCCTAAAAGAAACCCTCACCCTATCTTTAGACATATCTCTAGCACTAATTATACACTTAAACTAAACCATAACACTAGACCTAACACGAAGTCTAACCCTAATACTAGACCTAACCTAAACATAAACCAAACCTTAACCTTAACTCTAATTCTAGCCCTACCTCTAAACATAACCCTAATTCTAAACCCTATCCCTAGACATAACACTCAACCTGTCTCTAACCATAACAGTAAGCTGAACCCAAATTCTAATCAATCTTTAGCCCTAGCCCAAAATCAACCCCTAAACCTAAACTGCACTCTAATCCAAGACCTAATCCTAAACTTCAACATAATATCACCCCTAAATCAAACTTCAAACTCAATTTTAACCCTGGAACTAACCCTAGTTATAACTCTAACCCTAGCACTAGCCCTAGCCCTAATTCACCCCATACTTAAACCTAATGCTAGACTAAACCCTAACCCTAATGCTAATCCTGACGCAGCCCTCGCCCTAACCCTACCCTAGCTCAAAACCTAACCCTAACCCAAACTATAACCCTAAACTTAAGCCTAACCCTAGCTGTAGCCCTACTCATAATTCTACCCTTAAACCTATCCCTAACCCTAGACCTAAACCTAAACCTAAGCCTAACCGTAACCCTAACCCTAACACTAGCCCTAGCTCTAGCCCTAACCCTAACCTAAACAATAACTCTAACCCTAGCACTAGCCCTAATTCTACCCCAAGTTTAATCCATATTCTAACCCTAGACCTAACTTTACGCCTAACCTTAGCCCTAATTTTGTCCTAATTCTATCCCCAAACCTCGCCTTAGCAATAGACTTAACCTGAAACTAACGTTAAACTTCTACGTAACTTTGACACTAAACCTAACACTAACCCTACCGTTACCCCAGCCTTAGCCCTAGCCCTAACTCTAGTCTTAACACCAACAGTAACTCTAACCCTATGCCTAAAACTAGCCCTAGTCCTAATTCTACCTCTATATTTAAATTGTACAAGAACCCTAGATCTAAACCTAACCCTAATGCTAACCCTAACAATAACTGTACTCGAAACAGTAACTCTAATCCTAGCCCGAATCCTAGTCCAGGCCCTAGTTGTGACCCTAATTCTACACCTAACCCTAACTGTATCCCTAACTGTAATCATAACCTGAACTCTACCCTAACCCTAGCACTAGTTCTATTTGAAATTCTAACCCTAAACCTAAACCATACTCTAACAATGACCCTAAACCTAATCCCTAGTCAACACCAACTCTAGACCTAACCCTAACACTAATCCTAGTCATGACTCTAAACCTAATCCCAGTCCTAGCCCTTGAGCTGACCCTAACTCAAACCCTAACTCTAATAGTAACCTTAACCCTAACACCTAACTTTAACCCTAACCCTAACGACAACCCTATCCCTAGCCCTAGGTCTAGCCCTAGCCCTAAATAAACCCATAAACCTAACCCTAACCCTAATCGTAGTACTACCTCAACTCTAATTATACCCATAAACATAGCAGTACTCTAACCCTAGTCCTAACCCTAACCTTAAACCTAACCCTAATTCTAAATCTAACCATAACCCTAACACGAATCCTACTCCTAACCCTAGCCCTAATTTTACCACCAAAACTAATCCTAAACATAGACCTAACCCTAACCCTAACCCTAACCCTAACCTTAAACATAATTCTAAGCCCTTGCACTAAAACTAACCCTAAAACTAACTGTATTTCTAAACCTAATCCTAATCCTAACACTAACAATAACCGTTCCGTTACCAAAACCCTAACCCTCACCCTAGCCTTAGTCCTAATTCTAAGCATAACCCTAACCCTAGACCTAAGCCTAACTCTAATACTAACCCTAGACCTAACCCTAACCATAAAACTAAACCTAACCTTATCCTTAGAAATTGTCCTATCCCAATCCCTATCCCTAGTCCTAGCCCTAACCCTAGCCTTAATTCAACCCCTAATTTTCACCCATACCCTTACCATAGACCTAATCCTAACACTAATACTTACGCTAGCCCTAGCTGTGGCACTAGCTCTAACCCTAGCTCTAACCCTAGCCTTAGCCCTAATTCTAATTCTAAACCTAACCCTGCCCTAGCAATAACCCTAGCCATAACCAAAACCCTAAACTTAACGACAGCCATAGTCCTGACTCTAATCCTAACCTTAACCCTAACTGTTATGGTTTGAACCGTGTCCCTGCAAAATGTTATCAACTTGGCTGGGCCATGATTCCTCAGTACTGTATAGTTGTCCTCCATTTTGTGATCTGATGTAATTATCCTATGTGTTGTAAATCCTAACCTTTATGATGTTAATGAGGCAGCATTAGAGGCAGTTTATGTTAATGAGGTAGGACATAATCTATAGGATTACATTGTATCTTGAGTTAATTTCTTCTGAGATATAAGACAGAGAAGTGAGCAAAGAGGAGTGGGATCTCATGCCAACAAGCAAGAAGAGCGAGGAGTGGAGTGCATCCTTTGGACCCAGGATCCCTGCAGTGAGAAGCTCCTAGACCAGGGGAAGACTGATGACAAGAACATAGCCAATAGAGAGAGAAAGCCTTCCCCTGGAGCTGGTGCCCTGAATTTGGACTTCTAGCTTGCTAAACTGTGAGAGAATAGATTTCTGTTTGTTAAAGCCATCAACTTGTGGTATTTCTGTTGTAGCAGCACTAGATAACTAAGACACTAACCCTAACACTAGACCTAGCCTTAGGCCTAATTTTATCCCTAAACCTCATCTTAACCTATCCCTAACATAACACTAGCCACAACACGAATCCTATCCCTAACCTTAGCCCTAGACCTAGACCTAACACTAACACTAACCCGAACCTCCCCTTAACTCTAACCCTAACCATAGCCCTTGCATAGCCCTAGCCAAACCGTAAACCTAACCCTATCCATATTCCTAACTCTAATCCAAACCATAATGCTAACACTAACCTGAACACCAGACACTATCTCCATTCCTAATTCTCACCCTAAACCTGGATGATAATACTAATCAGAACCCTAATCCTATCTTTAAAATTAACCCTACATCTAGGCACGGCAATAGTCCTACCACTAACCCTAACCCTAGCCCTACGCCTCTCCCTAAACCTAGCAATAGCCATAGCCCTACACTAAACACTAACCATAATTCTAACCCTAACCTTAACACTAACCCTACATCTAAACCTAGCACCACCTCTAACCCTATCTCTAGTCCTAATGCTAACCCTAACCCTAGCAAAACCCTAACCCCAACCACGGATCTAGCCCTAGCCCTAGCCCTAACCCTAACTGTAACCTTAATCCTAGCCTAGGCCCTAGGTGGAATTATACCTCTAATTTTAATCCTTACCCTAACTCTAGAACTAAGCCTAACCGTTACTCTAATCCTAACCCTAGCCTAATCCTAGTGTTAAACTTAACCCTAATACTATACCTAACACTAAGCCTAGCCCTAGCTATAGTCCTAGTCCTAACCCTAAATAGGACCCTAACTCTAACCCTAACCTAAGGCATAGCACTAGATCTAACACTAACTCTAATCATAGCAGTAACTGTAATCCCTAACCCTAACCCTAGTTCTAGCCGTAGCCCTAATTCTACCCCTAAACCTAACCCTAAGCCTAGACCTAACCCTAACCCTAGCTATGGTTATGGTTAGGGTTAGGACTAGGGCTAGAGCTAGTGTTTGGGTTAGATTTATGCTTATGTCTAGGGCTAGGGGACGCGTTAGGTTTAGGGGTAGAATTAAGGATAGGGCTAGCTTTACAGTCAAGGTTACAGTTAAGGTTAGGTTTAGGGTTAGGATTAGGGTTACCATTAGGGTTAGCGCTAGGGCTAGGAATATAGTTAGGGCTAGGGTTAGGTTTAGGGATATAATTAAGGCTAGGGCTATGGTTAGAGTTAGGGTAGGGCTATGTTAGGGGTAGGGCTAAGATTAGGGCTAGGTTTAGGGGTAGGATTATGTCTAGAGTTATGGTTTTGGATTCTGAATAGGGTTAGGGTTAGGTTTGGGGTTAGATTTATGGCTAAGGCTAGTGTTAGGGTTAGACTTAGGCCTAGGGTTAGAGTTAGGGTTAGGTTAGGGTTACAGATAGTGTTAGGGTTATGGCTAGGGCTGCGAATAGGGTTACAGTTAGTGGTAGAGGTAATTTAACATTAGTGTTTGGTTGGATTTCTTGTCTCTGTACAACACAATGTATTTTGAAATCAGGATAACTCTCTTGGTTTCATGCACTTGAATGGTAAAATATGTACAAAGAATATTCTCACTCAAAGAATGGGTTGGGAACTTTCCCATCTTTGTTCCACACGATGTACATTGAAATCCAGAATAACTCTCTTGATTCATGTACTGGCATGGGAGAATGTTGGTACTGTTTTCTCGTTTGAAGAATGTATGGGAAATTTTCATGTTCTTATCCATGGGGTACCTTTAAAACTTGAAAAACTCTGTTGAATTCATATGCTTCATTTGGAGAATCTGTTTAGTATTTCTCACTCAAAAAATGTGTTGGATATTTTCAGTACTTGTTACACATGATATACTTTGAAACCAGGATAGCTCTCTTGACTTCATGTCCTTGAATGGATAACTTGCATAGTATTATCTGAAATAATGGATTGGGAACTTTCCTGTCTTTGTAACTTACAATGTACCTTGGAAACCAGAATAACTCTCTTCACTTCATCTACTTGCATGGAAGAGTCTGTGTAGTGCTGTGTCAGTCAAAGAATGTATTGGAAACTTTGCCATTCTTGCAATACAAGATGTACTTTGAAAACATATGTAGAATTCATTTACTTGAATGGTAGAGTCTGTGTAGTGATTTTTCAGTCAATGAATGTTTTGGGAACTCTCTCGTCCAAGAAATACAAGACTTACTTGGAAAATCTGGAAAACTATTTTGATTTTTGTACTTGTACTGAAGAAAATCTATGTTGCATTTCCATTCAAAGAATGTGTTGGGCAAGTTCTCATCCTTGTTATACTGATGTACTTTGAAAATCAGGATAACTCTCTTGACTTCATGTAGTTGAATGAGAAAATCTATGTAAAAAGTTTTCTCAGTCAAAGAATGTATGAGAAATTTCCATTCCCTTGTTATACACTATGTACCTTGAAAACTTGAAATACTCTGTTGAATTAATGTGCATCAATTGGAAACTCTGTGTAGTATTTCTCATTCAAAGGATGTGTTGGGTACTTTTGCATCCTTGTTACACATGATATACATTGAAAACCAGGATAACTCTCTTGACTTCATGTACTTCAATAGGAAAATCCATGCAAAATTCTTCTCAGTCGAACAGTGTGCTGTGAACTTTCCTGTTCTTACACATGATGTACTATGAACACTGGGGTAACATTCTTGATTTCATGTACTTGCATGGGAGAATCTGTGCAAAGAGTTTTCTCAGCCAAAGAATGGGTTGAGAACTTTCCCATTCTTATTACACATGATGTACTTTAAAAACCAGGGTAACTCTCTTAATTTTATGTCCTTAAATGGGAGAATCTGTGTAAAGAGTTTTGTCAGTGAAATACTGGGTTGGGAACTTTTCCATCCTTGTTACACACAATTTACATTGAACATTAGGGTAAGTCTCTTTATTACATGTATTTGAATGGGAGAATCTGTATAGTGTTTTCTCAGTCAAAGAATGTGTTGGGAACTTTTCTGTTCTTGTAAGACACATTGTACTTTGCAAACTAGGATAACTCTCTTGACTACATATTCTTGCATGGGAGAATCTGTGTAGTGTTGTGTTGGTCAAAAAATATACTGGGAATTTTGCCATCCTTGCAATACAAGACATACTTTGAAAACCTATATTGACTTCATTTAACTGAAGGGGAGAATCTATGTAGTATTTTCTCAATCACAGAATGTACGTGGCAATTTCATGTCCTTATCACACATGATGTATGTTGGAAACCAGGATAACACTCTTGACTTCATGTACTTGAATGGCAATATCTGTGCAAAGAGTTTTCTCAGCCCAAGAATGGATTGGGAGCTTTCCCATTCTTGTTACACAATGTACATTGAAAAGCAGGATAACTCTCTTTATTTCATGTAATTGAATGGGAGAACGTGTGTTTTCTCAGTCAAAGAATGTATTTAGAATTTTCCCATTCTTGTAATACATGATGTACTTTGAATAGTAGGATGCTTTTGATTTCATGTACTTGCATGACAGAATGTGTGTAGTGTTTTCTCACTTAATGAATGTTTTGGGACCTTTCGCATCCTCTTTACACAAGACGTAATTTGAAAACCTGGAAAACTATTTTGACTTCATGTACTTGAATGGGAAAACCTGTTTAGTGTTTTCTCAGTCCAAGAATGTAGGGGAAGTTTTCATGTCTTTGTTATACACGATGTACCTTAAGAACTTGAAAACGCTGTTAAATTCATGTCATGCGCTTCAGTTGGAAAATCTGTGTAGTATTTCTCAATCAAAGGATGCGCTGGGTACTTCTGCGTCCTTTTAAAACATGATGTACTTTGATAACCAGGATAACTCTCGCTCTTTTTTTAATTTCAGGATAACTACTGACTTGTGTACTTCAATAAGAAAATCAATGCAAAAAGTTTTCTCAAACAATGTTCTTACACATGATATACTATGAACACCAGGATAATGCTCTTGACTTCATGTACTTGCATGGGAAAATCTGTGCCAAGAGTTTTCTCAAAGGATGGATTGAGGACTTTCCCATTCTTATTATATATGATACACTTTAAAAACCAGAATAACTCTCTTGACTTCATGTATTTGAATAGGAAAATCTATGCAAAAATTTCTCTCAAAGAATGTGCTGTAAACTTTTTCGTCCTTGTTACACATGATGTCCTCTGAAAAACAGGATAACACTCTTGATTTCTTGTACTTGAATGAGAAAATCTGTACAAAGTCTTCTCAATCAAAGAAATGTACAGGGAACATTCCTGTTCTTGTAAGACATGGTGTACTTTACAGACTAGGATAACTCTCTTGACTATACGTACTTGCATGGGAGAATCTGTGCAGTGTTGTGTCAGTCAACCCTAATTTTAATCCTAACATAACCATTGCCCTAATCTTTCCCTAACCCTCAACAGACCTAGGCTTAAATCAAACCATAACCCTAAATTTAACCTTAACCCTTAACATAACCCTTTATCTAACCCAAACCGTAACACTAACCCTAGCCCTAACCCAATTTGCTCTAACCATAACCCTAGACTTAACCCTAACCCTAAATCTAAAACCAAACACGAACCTCATCTTAACCTTTGCCATATACCTACATTTAACCCTAAACCTAGTCCTAGTCTTAACCCTAAGCCTAAACTAACTCTATCCTGTACCATAACTCTAACCCTAACACTAAACCTAAACCGAACATTTACCATAACCCAAATCCTCAGTCCCTCACCAAAATTGAGTCCACAGTCTGTAGAAAATTGTACGTATGGCAGGGAATATCTCATTGGTCTCCTTCACAATTGTTGGGGATATTTCAACCCTCATATTGAGCAGGTAACCTCAACTTATCCCATCTGATACAAAAACAATACTGGTAAAAATGTAAGTGTGGGATGAGAATGAAAGCCCACTCTCTTATATGCACCAGTGAATTTTTTATTTCTGCACTTATGCCTGATTTATGGCTGCAATTTTGGAATTAAATTTATGGGCCGTTTGTGTCTGTATGTATATTTATACAGGTATGTATATGATATCTATGTATATGTAATATTTTCGTAACTCTGAATAATATCACCAAATTAGATTATAATATTCCTTCAAGGGGCTCTATTCTAATTGGTTTAGAAATAAATAAGTGCTTATATAAATTGGATATCCCTAATGTTCTCAGAAATCCATGAAAGTGAGTTTATTCTTACAAAAGTTTATCTAAGCAGTAATTATGTTTTGTAGTATGTTGCTTTAAAAACAGTTTCCAATGTCTTTTTGGTAACTTAAAATATTGGATTTAGTCTAGATTAAGTACACAAGGCAGGTAGGATGTGTTTTGTTAAGGCAAAAGAGTATAAAGTCCTAAAGTAAAATAACTGGCTGTTCCAGAATGAGAATGAGGAAAGTATAGGACAAAATCTGAATGGATACAGAAAGGCTGTGGAAAGGAATGTTATTTCTTATGGTCAAAGCTAGCTAAGATTTGATAGCTTTATTTATAAGATTTTAAAAGAGTTCTGGTATCAAATATACTAAGGCAAAACTAGAATTTGGTTTTCTGTTACAATGACAAAATTTTCTTGAATTACTGCCTTGCTCTTAGTAAGAAGTTATAACAGGTTATCTTTACTTTCTGAGTAATCTTCCTAGAAGGCAAAAATTCTGTGTCTTATATGCTGACTTTATCATGTCCTTGGTTGTTCAATAGAGCCAAGTCTTCTCGCTTTTGAAAGAGTTAAGATTTTAAAAATCATGTTGTTCTCTTAGCTACCATTGAGTCGACTCCAGATCACGAAGACCTTATGTACAACAGAACGAAACGTTGCCCAGTCCTGTGTCATCCTTACAATCACCAGCATGTTCGAGTCCATTGTGGCAGTTACTGTGCCAATTTACCTTACTGAGGGTCTCCCACACCCTCACTGGCCTTCTACTTCACCAAACATGATGTCCTCCTGTAGCGATCGATCCCCCATGATGATATGTCCAAAGCAAGAGAGTTGGACAATGATGGATAAGGTTCTCACTGGATAATTTTTCTTCCCAGTCTGTCTTAGTCTGGAAGCTCTGCTGAAACATGGCCATCATGGATGACCCTACTCGTATTTAAAACACCAGCGGCATAGATTCCAGCACATAGCAACACACAAACCACCACAGTATGACAAAATGATGGACAGGTAAGGGTTTACAATCATGTTAACACCTATATTTACTTTTTAAATATTTTACTGTAACTTTGGTGAATAGAAAGCGTTGACTTTAATTAAATATAATTAAAAGAAAACCTTCTTCCAACCCAGAAAACCTCTCCACAATGGTAGACGGGAATGAAAACGATGATTTATTATTCTCATTTATTATTGAATAAATATTAAACCAGAATGTGTGCCACACAGGCAAGATGCTAAAGAGATCGCAAAGACAGAGGCAACACATTTCATGCATGTTCTCCAGAGAAAAGACAACTCATCCTCAAGTAAAACGACTTGATTTTTTCAGTTGCGTTACTTTTGTAATGACGTCTCATTAGATCTTTCACTTTCTCAAAGAAATTTTGTCACTTTTTAAAAAATAATATTTTATTGTGTTTTCAGTGAAAGTTTACATTAACAGTTTAGGTTCCCAATCAACAATTTCCACACAAATTGTTCAGTGATATTGGTTATATTCTTCACAATGAATGGACATTCTCATTCTGTCTTGGTCAAATCTCTTTAGTACCTGAATAGCTTGGATCTGAGCCAGACTGCCTGAGTTCAAATCCTGGCTCCACCACTCACTCGCCATAAGAGAGTTAAGAAACCTGTCTATGTCTCAGTTTCCTCATTTATAGATGGGGATGATAACAATATCTATCTCATCAAGTTTTTGTGAGGCTAATATTAATAATGAGCTAACACATGTTAAGTGCTTAGAACATGGCCAGCCATATAGTTAAGTGCTTGATAAATCTTCTCTCTCATTACTACATGCTTTCACAACACCATGTGCTTCTGCTTTGCAGGACTTATCAGAGCTGGAGTTTAATACTTATTTATGTGATGTTATTAGTGACTCTCTCTCCCCATAGACCTTTGAGATACGGATGATGAGTGCTTTGCCTACAAGTGTATCACCAGGATCTACACCAGGTCTTGGCATCTTGTGTGCTGGATATTCTCCACTCCTCACCTTTGCCTGGCTCTGTGCCCCAGGAGGTCAACCTCTATGGACAATCCACAGGCTCCCTGGTTTTTGGGCTTCTGGTTGAGTTTGGCCAATGGGAGACACTGGCAGAAGATGAAAGGGAGGGCAGAGAAGGAGGTTGAGACTACCCTGACTCTTTCCCTGCCAGGCCACAAACTGGTAGTGGCTCTGTTTCTTTATTAGAGACCACTGATCCTGTCAGGCAACCCTTATGCTACTATCCTCCAGTTCAGGTGAATGCATACCTTGCTTTTATAGGCCTAAGTGTAGCTATGATTCCCCCACTGTGTCCAGCCTCAGGGTGCTGCACCACCCTTTATTGTTTTCTACTATCTGCCTACATATTTGTAAACCGTTACTTCCTTCAACTGTCCAATTGCTCCAGTTGAGTTTGTCATCTATATCCTTCTGGGACCCTGACTGATACAAGAGGTTCTGTGTCAATATTTGTTGAATGGATGAAATCACCTCATTTGTCTTAGTCTGTTTTATCATAGGAAGATAATAATCCTCACTCCAGACCATGGATAAGGTTGTTTTGATGGGTTAATAAGAAACAGGAAGCAGACACTTTTAAGGATGAGATACTGGAGCAGGGTCCTCAAACATGACTGCACATCAGAATTACCGGGAAGGCTTGTTGAATTCAGATTGCTGGGCCCCGCCGCCAGAGATTCTGATTTGGTAGGGCTGGAGGAGTGTGGGATACTTCGCATTTCTAACAAGTTTTCTGGTGATGTTGATGTATCTAGACTGGAGATTACACTGAGAAACACTGAACTAGAGAAATGTCAGAGGCTTTTGCTACTTATGGACCCCAAGTCTCATGGTCCCATTAACCATCTTTAAAGACACAAAAGACCAAGTACTATATAATCTATGTTTTATTTTACTCCTCTCTGATCACTGAAATCTAGACAGAGGTTTTTGCTAAAAAACAAATAAACACATTAAAAAAAAAAAAAAAGGAAAAAAATATAGTGAAAAGAAATGTAGGAATCTACTGGGAGTAGATGAGGGGTGTGCAAGGCCCCATCTGGGAAGGGCTGCACACACTGCAGGGCACACCTGCAGGGGGCCCATGGAGCCTGGGCCTCGGCCATGACTCAGATTGCCCTTAGGTCAGGGACAGAAAGGATCTCTTGCTCCACCCCAATCCAGGTTGCACAGGCCTGAGACAGTGCAGACACACCCCTCAAAGTAGAGCAGATGTGCCTCTTCTTCCAGCTTCTTCAGGCCAGACCACCCTGTTCCCCACACGTGTCCACCCTCATTGACACACTCACCCAGGCACAGGGACACACTAATGCCTAGGCACACCTGCTTGCATTCACACACTCACAAAACAATGCTTCTGATTTCAGGGCTCCATCCTGGGCTCAGGGATCAACTCCACAGTCGATGCATGTGAGCGGACTGACAAAGGGCCACTGGAGAGGCAAAGTGTCAGCCATCCATCCTGAGTCCCCAGAAAGGGAGGGAGAAGGAAAATTCTACTGAGCAACTGGGGCTGGGCAGGTTCAGTTAGGGAGGTACAGACACCAGTTCTGAGAGGCTATCGAGCTCTGCTTTGCTCCTTAATAGCCAGTCAAGAAGGAAGCAGAGTGCCAACAGGCCAGTCCCCAGGAGGTCTCCCAGCCCTGTAAGGTAGGGGATACAGTGGCTGTCAGGATCCAGGGCCTGGTGCCAAGTCACACGAACCATCACTTCTGCCAGGTACAGCAGAATTGTCACCTGATCATAAACAAGCAGACACAGACGAACAAAACCAAGTCAGAAAGCCAAGTATGGTCAAGAAATACTATCAGAGTTTCAAGGGCAGAAACCAAGATGGACAGTATCAACCCCAGACAGTCCCCTTTCTCCAGCTTCTCTTGGGGTCTGAAGCTCAGCCCTGAACTCATACAGCAGGCTAGAGAAGTTGATCCTCTTTCACACTTTCCTAGTCCTCTTGCTGGTGGCTGAGCCCTGTTCCCTGTGCCAGACAGACCTGTGTCACTCACATCCTTGGACCTCTCTGTGACCCAAGACCCAACTCATCTGGGGACTTGGAAACTTAGACATGGATCTTGCTAGGACTTAAATTTGGGTTTGCTTCAGCTCCTTTCACTTGGAGCTTTCGATGGGTGGCCTTTCCTGAAGGTGACATGGGGTGGTCCATACAGCCTGGTCAGAGTTCAGGTTTCTTCAGTCCCTTGTCCTGGGCTCACCTCAGTTCCCCTCTTTCTCCCTAGTTGGAGCCATACACATGCTGCTATCAGGGCAGCTTCATAGACTCATGGACCCCGTACCCTTCGGGGTCAGGAATATGCTGGGATTGCATATGCTAGCCTCCTTAAACTGGGAGATTTGAAAGTGCCAATCCCTATACTAGCACCACTCTCATGAAATCACCAACCAGCACCCACAGGTCTCCCTGCAAAAGCCCTGGGCCCACATTTCCTTGCCCACCTGGGACATCAGCCAGCTAGATGCTCAGCAGACAGTCTGTTGAGAGTCCTCTCCTGATGCAGGCACACCAGCTTAACCTCCTTCACCACCACCCTTATCATCATCCATCCCCGACAGAAGTCTATGTATGCCTTTTACTAGGACCCCAACAGGGCCTGGTCTCTGCCCACCCTCTGTCTGTGATGCGGAGATGCACAGGGCTCTAATGGACTCTGCTGGATCAGCTCAGCGGCCTACTCCGTGATTGCTCCATGACCACCTGCTGCAACCCAGGACTATACCCTGACCCCCTGAGAATGAGTGTGCAAAGCCTTCATGTCTGGAACATGCCTTTTGGCTTGAACAAGTTGACTAAACTCCTGGAAGAGGGGACTGTGCCCTCTATGTCCAGAAGCCACTTCTGAGTATCTCACTCAGGACCAGGAATATGAAGGCAGTCACGTTAGCTGACTGGCTAACCAAATGAATGCTGCTTTTCTGCCACAGCCATCCTTACCTGGATCAGGCTTGCTAGCAGATACAGCACCACAAAGGTCTTGCTGCTTGTGACCGAGTGACCTTCTATCAGGTAGATAACTAAGAAGAAAATCAGATGGCCTGGAATCACCAGGAAGAGCAGGACTCTGGCTGACATGGAATTGATTTCTGGAAGAAGAAAATCAAAACGCTCTCATGACATGCCTGGCGGCAGAAGACACCTTGACTGATCCATTTATCCTACAAGTGTATTAAGCATCTGCTGTGTGCCAGACACTGCTCTAACAGATGGGGACGCAGTTCTGTCCCTTCCCTCACGGAGCTCACATTTTAGAGATGAGAGACAAACAATAATTGAGTAAGCACAAACAAACTGACAGATACAGTGAAGAAAATAAAACAGGGTAATATGACAGAGGATGAAGCATACGTTAGTGGGAATGAGTTATTGGAGACTGGAAGAACACTGCCAGGAGATGACGTTTAAGCTGAGATCCTGCACAGATAAGGAGGAGGTGGGCAGACTCTAGGCAGAGGAAAGAGAAAGTGCAAGGGGCTTAGGAGCTTGGAAATAAAGAAGAACAAAGGTTAGAGTGTGTAGAGCTAGTGATACGGGGAGAGACACAAGATAAGGTGGGAGATGTTGTACAGATTGGGGTTGAGGAAACTGGATTTAACTTCAAGTATGTTGGGAGTCATTGGAGGATTTTAAGCAGAGAGGGATATGATCTCATTTATGCTTTAAAAAGAGCACTCTGGCTACCGTGTGGATTGAAGGTAGCAAGAATGGGTGGTGTAAGGAGAAGCAGAGACCATTGCTGTAGTCTGAAAGAGATGGTGATGGAAACAGTGGGTGGATAAGAGAGAGCAAACAGGACGTTTTAGGGACTGGACATAGGGAGTGAAGGAAAGAAAGATCAGTGATCACTTATAGGACTTTTGCTCTGAGCAACTGGATAAATACGGTACCATCATAGAGAGGGAGAAGACTGGAGGAAGAGGAAGTTTGCGGCCATTTTAGACATAATGAGTTTGAGATACCTATGAGACACTTAAATAGGAAACAGGGTACAATGGATCTAGAGTCCAGAGCTAGAAATGTCAGTTTGAGAGTTGCTGGTGGTGAATTGAGCTTTACCAGTTCTCAGCTGCCTGTGACAAACAGCTGTGGCCTGGGATAAGCACCTAGATGGATTTATTTCTGCCCCTAGGGTGACACAGGGCAAGACACTACCCCCAGTCTGCTTATTTATGCAACTGTTACATGAGGGAAGCATCAGTCCTGCAGAGGGAAGTCCTTTGTCTCAGGCTGACAGTTACATTTGGGTGTACATCAACTTTGTTGGAAAAACAGAAATGCACATAAGGTCCTATAACCTGCTTTTATCACTCAATATACCTTGGACATCTTTCCGAGTTAATAAAATTCTTCCGTAATATTGTTTTAAGAGACTATATGATATTCCACTGTGTAATGGACAACAGAGCGCACACTCCATAAGACTAGAGACATTGTGCATTTTATTCACTTGTTTACTGCTATATGGTTATAGTGATAATCGCTCACACTTACATAGCATTTTACTTTGTGCCACCGTTTTAAGTAATTTCATAATTTTATCTCTTGTTCAATACTATTTTAATAGTTTGACTATTAATGGATGAATTAATACTTCTAAAACTGAAATAATCTATGTCCTCTGTGAATGATCCCTGCCCTCAGGTTGTGCCCAGTCTTCCTTGCTTAATTCTATCAGTTAAGAATTAGGTAATACAATGATCAGTTTGCCTGAATTATGAGATCAGGGGCCAAAAGCACCTTTCACTTTTTCTATGTTCTCCAGCGCCCAGTAGGGGGGGTTTGGCATCATGTGGGTCCTGCCAAATAGACTCTAGCTACTTTCTTCAAGAGGGGCCTGAGTCCCCCAATTTACCAGCGGCTACTCTGCTGTTTTCAATAATTCCTGGGAGATATCATTACATCTCCACCTAAGATCTGGTCCTCTGACACCCCTGGGGCACCAATATGCAATCCCCTCCGGCTCCTGCTCATCCCCTCTGCTTCCTTCTTCTCTCCCGGCTCTCTACTTTGCCATCCCCTCCCTCAGACCAACTCACTCCCAAGTTCCTTCTGTGTAACCCTTCTGTCCTCCCAAATCCCTTCCTGTCCATCCTCATAGCCATGGCCTTAGTTCAAGTCCCCTTGAACCCTTCTCTGAACCAGCTGGTCATGCCACCTCTTTCTCTCTTTTTCCCATGTCCCCTACACTGTCCTTTACACCAGTGCTACTCAAAGTAGGGTCTGTGGACCACTAGCTTTGACACGATGTGGGAGTTTGTAAGAAATGCAAATTCTTGGCTCCACCCCAGACCTGGACCTGCTAAATCAGAATCTCTGAGGATGGGGCCCAGGAATTTACATTTTAACAAGCTCTCCTGATGATTTTTAGGTGCGTTAAAGTTGAAGAAATACTGCTGGACACTACAGCAATCTTTCAAATGAGAAAAGACCTACAGACCACAGCTCAAAAATTTTTAATGACTAGCCATTTCCCAAATAATACAACATCAATGACTTCTTGCTCTGCCTCTTACCTTCTGACCCACAGCCTCATTGCTCACCATTACTGTCCTGTTCTACTCTACTGTCCAATTTTACTGACCAACTCTGAATATGGCCGACCTTTCTCAAACCTCATAGCTCTCATATGGGACACACTCTGAGTCTCTCCCTGAAAACATCTATATTTAAGTCACAGTCTTGGCTGGAAATGCAAGGCCTCACACCTGGTAAAGCCTTCACACATGTCTCTGTGAAGCTAAGGTAAGCTGAATCTTACTGGCTCTTTTGGCCTTCTTTGAAGTAAGTGAGGCCAGTCTGGCTGGTAGACTCCATAGGTGAGATATTCAGGAAAGGGACATGCCACTGATGCAGTCCCTCTTTTATACCGGATATGTCACCCACAGTATTAAATCTAATGCTTGGGGCATTCATAGCATACATTTTGCTACTGAAGAAAAAAAATAAACCTGTTGCTGTTGAGTCAATTCCAACTCATAGCGACCCTATAGGACAGAGTAGAACTGCCACATAGGGTTTCCAAGGCTGTAAACTTTATGGAAGCAGATTGCCACATCTTTCTTGCGATGAGTGGCTGATGGGTTCAAACCACTGACTCTTCAGTTAGCAGCCGAGCAGTGTAACCACTGTGCCTCCAGGACTCCTCTACCGAGGAAATTGAGCCTTACAGTGGTGATGCCATATGTATGCCTAGATCCATGTTTATTCCAAGAATATAACACTCTTGGTGGATTCACTCTAGGACACCCAGCTCAACCCTAAAGCATAGTGGGCCCTTAGACAGCTCCCTCCTCACTATAAGCACCCAGACCCTGTCAGCACATTACATTAGTGACATATTAGTGATCTCCAAGTTCCATGAGTTTGAGAATTTGCAATAAATGTGATTGACACCCCCACTTTTGTAAACTATAACATGTGAATGTGATTGACTTCTCAAACAGAAATAAAGTGTTTCAATGAAAAGTAAGTTTCCACCTCCCTCTGAGTTAATATAATGTATTTCACCAAATTAATAGGGAAAAGGAGGAAAAATCATACTTAACTTAGAAGCTAAAAGTCTATCATAAAATAATATATATAGAGAGAGTAAGAGTACACAAGAGCACCAAAATCTATTCATGATGAAAAATTAGTTAAGACATAAAAAGATATATAAAACTTAAAGAGGAGAAAGCAAATTAATTACTATTTGCTGCTGGCATGAAAACTCAAGAAAATCTAGAAAAACTATACAAACAAGAAATCAGTAAAATGCTTGAGTACATAAATAACATAGAAAAGAAATACCGTTTCTATATACAAATGACAAATTAGAAAATATAATGGGGACTTCCATTTACTCGTGCTAAGTACAGCTAAAAACTAGGAACACTATGTATAAAAAAAAAAATGCAAGACTCCGAAGCGTAGAGAGAAGAAGTCAGACTAGCTATGGAGCTGGGACCCAAGGAACAACATGGTAGCAAGTTCCTTGGGTTTTCTTTTCGTCTCATATATTCCAGATGTGGAACTAAAGAAGCTGGGAACCCAGAAATGCCAAAATGTAGAGACCAAAAAGAGCCCAGCAAAATCTGCTCTCTCTAGCTAAAGGACCAGGAAAGGGGCATCCTAGCAACACAGAGACCTTTTAGATAATAACTGCTCTACACCAGCCAGATATCACAGAAAAAAACTGAGGCCCCACTCCCGTCAGCAAAGGCCAAGCGGGAAGCCTAGACTTCCACTCTCATTCAGGTGTAATGTGGTGCCCACCCCCTCCTGCTGAGGTGCTTTAAAGAGAAGCCTGAGCAGCAATGAGGCCCTCCTTCCATGGTGTCAGTGGAGACCACCTGAGAGGAGCTTGGACTTCCACCTCTGTCTGGTAGTAACAAGGCACTATCGCCCTCTCCATCAAGGTAGTGTCAGAAGAGACCAAGTAAAATGCTGTAATTTCACCACTGCACAGAGATAATGAGGCCTCCACACACCATGGTGTCAGTGGAGGCTGTGTGATAAGTAGTAACAAAGCACTCCCATGTTTCCTGTTCAGGATGGTGTCAGTGGAGGCTTGGTGAAGAGTCTTGGCTTCCATATCCACCTGGCAGTAAGAAAGCAGTCCATCCCCTTACCCCCTAATACAGTGTTAGAGGAAGAAGCTAGCTAAAACAGAAGCTTTAAATAAGACCAGAGACTCATAACATAATACCCAAAATGTCCAGGATTCAATCTAAAATTACTCAGCATACCAAGAACCAGAAAAAAGAAAGACAGTCAACAGATGACAACACCAAGATGGACCAGATGTTAGACCTGTCTGAAAATTATTTTAATAAAAGCCATCATAAAGATGCTTCGACAAGCAATTAGGAAAACACTTGAAGTAAATGGAAAAAAAAAAAAGGTCTCAGCAAAGAAATAGAAGATACAAAAAATAACCAAATGGAATTTTAGAACTGAAAAAATACAGCAATTGAAATAAAAGCTCAATGAATATGTTCAACAGCAGAATGGAGAGGACAAAGGAAATTAGTGAATTTGAAGACGTAATGATAGAAATTACCCAATCTAAACAACAGAGAGAAAAACAGGCTGAAAAAAAGGATGAACAGAACCTCAACAAATGATCTAACATCCCTGTGATCAAAGTACCAGAAGGAGAGGCAAAGGAGGATGGAGCTGAGAAAGCATTAAAAAAAAATGGCTGGGATTTCCCCAAATTTGGCAAAAGATATAAGTCTACAGATTTAAGAAGCTGAGAAAACTCCAAATAGGATAAACCCTAAGAAATCCATGCCAGTACATATCATAATCCAACTTCTAAAACTAAAGACAAACAAAAAAGTCTTGAAACAAGCAAGAGAGAAACGACATCCTACTTATACAGGAAAAACAATTCAAATGACAACAGATTCCCCATCAGAAACACGCAGGTCAGAAGGAAGTGGAACAACATTTTTCAAGAGTTGAAAGAAAATAATGACCAACCCCAAATTCTATATCCAGCAAAAATATCCTTCAGGAATGTGCCAGCAGACTACCTAGAAGAACGGTTAAAGGTAGTTCTTGAAACAGAAAGAAAATGGTAAAATATAATGGGAGAAAAGATCCAATTTATAAAAGCAATAAAAAGATAAAACACCTCCAATGGCTTCCCCTGGCTCTCAGAATAGAATCCAGTCTTTCCTCAAGCTTCAAGGTCCTATATAATCAACTCCTTCCTAGCTCTCCAGCCTCAGTTTCCTTCATTCTCTCCCTTGCTCACTGTGCTCAGTTCTCACTGGCCTTTCAGTTCTTCAGACTTGCCAAACATCTTCCTGCCTCCAGGCCTTTGCTCAGCATGTTCCCTCTGCTTTGAATGCTCCTCCTGCTCCAGTACTCCTCCTCGTCAACCAGGCCCTGCTCATCATCAGAGAGGACGTTAACTCTCTAACTCCAAATAAGCGTCTCCTGCAATTGTATTTCACTGCACCCTGTGTTTTTGCTCTTTAGAACACATCACCATGTGTATTTATGTGTTTATTTATTTATGTTTATCTGCCTTCTAGACTAAGTACTTCATGAGGGCAAGAATCAACTTTCTCTGTTTCACCATTTTAACCATAACACTTAGTACCTGACAGACATTAAATAAATGTTTTTTGAGTGAATAAATGAATTAATGAATTAAGGCAAGGTCTTTGGGATGCTGGGATCCCAAAGATGATCTGTGCTGAGGTCAGCACTGGCTTTAGATTTCCATTGTTGCAAACACCAGATTCCAATGACATTGATTTTTTTTTTTCCAGTGACATTGATTTGTAACTTGTTTAAAGAAATGGCCATATGGCCTCTGGAAGGCAGCAGACCCACCTGAGGAACAGAAGGTAGAGCATGGGTTAGGCCAGAATTTTTTCATCCAGAGGGGCAGGACGCCAGGTGTGCTCCAAATGTGCAGGTAGGTAGAGATCCGGCTGGTCTGAATGGCCACCAAATTGCCACCAACACCTGGGAGGAGAAAAAGAAGCTGGTTCCCCTTCTTCACTTAAGTTCACTTTTTCCAGGAAGCCTTCCTTAATTGGTTCAGCTCTTGATGTCTTTTCCTTCCCTCCCATTGAACCACAGATCTTGTTTGCCACCAAGCAAAGTGGTCTAGACTTGTATCATCTTAACAGCTGGCATCTCTTAAGGTGAGGGGAGGGTGTCTGGCAAAGTAGGTTCTCAATAATACTTGCTGAGTAGAGAGAGCATAAAAAGGAGGGAAGGAATTCAGGAAGGGAGTAAGGACGAGGGGAGGAGAGAGGATAGATAGGTCTATGGGGAAATAGCTTGATAAGTCACTCTGGGTAAGAAAGTAACACCTCAGAAAGATGGTTAAGCTGAAATATTTGAGAAAAATAATTTTTTTTTTTCACCTAAAGGTGGGAAGGGGAAGAAATTGAACAGTGGATAAGAGCAGGGCAGTGAAAGGAGAGGACATCGCCATACAGGGACAGAAAGGCACAAAGTGAAATACCCATTGGAAACCTCGCATGGCTGGGGGGCTGGAGGGGCTTTTAAGAAAAGACATTTTCTACTGTGTCATCTCAAGTCATTTGCTGTGTGATCCCCTCTCTGGGGCCCCCAAGTTGTTAGCACAGACTCCTGCATGCATACATGGTTTGGGTAATTGTGTGGAAAGGGGCTTCTTTGGGGAAATTTAGGAAGGCTAGGGGCCGTGAGTAGATCGATGGGGCACAGAACATGGACAGTGTCCCAGAAGCAGAGCTGGAGGCTAAGAAAACACATGCGTGTTGCTCCCCAGAAATTCTGGGGCTCCTTGCTGAGACCCCAGGCTTCCACGGGGTGTGGAGAGCTGATCGTATCCATGCAGAGCTCCTTCTGCGTGCCCATGGTAACTGTTTCCTTGAGAGGGTGGCTGAGAGAAGGAGAGTGGGTTGCTCCCATTCTATTGCCTCAGCCCCAGGGGGACAATCTGTCACTGGGCTGGACAAGCATCAGTGACCTCCAGGGGCAAAGTTGACTGCCTCAGTTGTTCCTGAGGATGCAAAGTATGATCTGCGGGCCAAGGATGGCTACAGATCAATCTTGTTGGGTTTGCACATGATTTACAAAAGAAAAGAAGAGGTGGGGGAGGCTCATATTAATTGGCAGCATTAATTTACAAATTAGGCACTTTCATATAAAATCCAGATACCCAGCTTCTCTTAACAGATCACCTCTGGCAACTCTGGGTCCACGTTCCCACAAGGCACCAATTTGCTGGAGCTGAGCAGTCGTTAATCCCTTCAGACTAGAAACATGCTTTGCTCTTTGCCGCATTCCCTACCCGTCCTTACTGCCTTGCTCTTGTCTTGCCTGCTTAACTCACTCGTACCACTTACTTGGCACCTGCAGGCATCTGAGCTGGTGACATCAGAGAAAATCATTCTAAGCTTACAGCCATCTGCACATGACAGCTGTTGCTGTCTTCACTCACTGTGCCCGGCCCTTCTATGAGAAAACAGGCACCCCAGGACTGGGCCATGCAAGAACACAGGCTGGGTCCCCACAGCTGGGTGCTGTGCACCTGCATGGGGCTGCCCAAGGGTCTCTGAAGCCTATTTCTGCACTCCCATAAGGCCAGGGCCTGGGGACCAAGCAAGCTGAGCAATAAGTTCATTCCTCTCCTGACTGGCCACTTCTATTTACAGAGCCTTTATCAGAAACCTGATACAAATTCAAGATTTGGTTAAAATAGGAGTCATAAACACAAATGTTTACAGGGCTAACCCTGGAAGGTTAATAAGTGAAGGGGGTCAGATGTCAGACAATAGGGAATGGTGGGGATTGAGGCAAAACTGATAAGCATATGTCTTGTTTCAAGGCAGGGTGGGAGCAGCTGACGCTCTGTTTCAGCTGATTATTGCCATACCCAGAATGCAAATCAAGTATTGTCACAGCCTTAATTGTTAAGGAGAAGATAAAAACAAATTTGTATGTACAAGTGTCTGATTTTTAAATGTCATCAATGAATCTAAATAATAATAATAAAAAAATAACAACACAAAAGCCCAACAACCCAGTTCTAAAGTCCACACTCAGGCTGCAGGCAGCCAGCAGGTTCTGGGTTCAGTTCTCCAAGCTGGAGCCCTGTCAGGGCCGCTCAGGGCCCAATGACACCTACAAGGAAGAGGGGAAGTTGACGAGAATAGCAGGCAGGGCTTTCTTACCCAGGCCTCCTGCAGGGCAGCAGCATGTCTGTGCCTGAGGTTCTGAACACTGCCTCTGAGGGCCTGGAGCTGGACCTCTGAAGTCATTTCCATTCAGGTGCAGTCAATGCCTGGGAGCCAACCCTGCCCAGGGACCCCAGAGACACAGGCAGATCGCCTTGAATACCTACCACATATGATGGGGGTGAAGATGGCCATGCCTTGGTACTGTGGTTCAGAGACGGTTTTGCTCAGGATGATCCCTCCAAAACTGGGAGAGAGCAAACAGCATTCCCGTGGTCAGCAGGGTGCACTGATGGGACCTTGCAAACCTCCCTGTACAAGTCGTCTGTCAGCCTACTTCCCAGCCTAGGGTCCACTTTCCTGTCCCCTACACAAAACATATGTTGGAACCAAGCTGGTCTACCAGCGTTCTCCTCACACTGCACACATTTTCCATCTCTTCCTCTGTTCTGAGTCTCAGCTATTCTAGGAACCCACTAGATAATGTCAGTCCATCTGAAAAAAAATGCCTTTCCAAGGTTGCTCAGCCGGCTGGGCTGTCCCATGGCAGCTCCACTGCAACTGAGAAGCTCAGGAATAGCATCACAGGCCCCTTGTTCCAGGAAAATGTTGCAGCAGGACCTTCCCAGCCCTTGGAACTAGAATTAGATCCATTTCCAATAAGGAGCCCAGCAGTCTTCTGGAAGACACCTAGACCATGACCTCTTCTCCCTGAGATTCAGTTAGGAAAACATGCCAGAATATACCAGGGTGGCCCTGAGCCAGGTGTCCTAGAAGGAAAGAGCCCCTGAGGGTGAAAGCACTCTAAGCCAGGGCCCTGGACTCAGCTTAGGCCTGAGGGCTCAGGGGGGCACTACCTGCACACCGCCTCTAGGTCCCACCAGCTGCCATGCTTTGGAAATGGTGCCTGGGCCTGTGAAGGAATTAAAACAGCTATAGCCTTGAGGCCCCATCATGGACCCACTGCAGCCTAACAGGGGTCTGGGCCCATAGGAACTCTGCTGGCCATGGACCGTGTGAGACCTGGTGTCCAACAGCGACCAGGTGTGGCAGTGAGCTGCAGTGCGAGTGGACGCGTCTGACTTTCTCACTTTGGGCTCCTCCTGGCTCCCTGGCGCTCTGGTTCTTGTAAACACGATTGCTCCTTTAGAATGAATAAGCTTCAGGGTGAGAGACTGGCCTCAGGGAGGTTTCCCGTAGACTAGAAAGTAAAGAGGTTTGGGACTGAGAGTCGGTGAAGTCATGGAGGTCACACTCCCTCCAGGGGGCACCACTGTCCTCAGCTGCTGCCAGACTACAGAGGCCACAGGTGGCAAGAGGAGTGGAAAGCGAAGGGGCAGTAGCTCTGCTCATGCTCACCTGCTGATGACCATTGCTAGGATGATGGGGAACCACCCGAACTTGAGGATCTTCATGATAGGTGGGCTCTGCTTGGCCATGATGCCCCACACTGGAGTCAGAGCGACAAAGGCCACACAGACCAGCAGGGTCAGGTACCAGCTGTCTGTAAGAGGAAGAGAGGATGCCATGCTGAGGGGTGGGGCCGGAGCACACCAGTGGGTGGGGGACGTCAGTCCTGGCCCAAGCAGGGCCCAGGATCAGAGATGTGTGTGGGGGGTTTGGGATTAAAGGCACTACGGGTCTGAGGAAACACTTTCTTCCTCATCAGTTTAGGGTGGACTGTTCTACAACACTTCCCAAAGAATGTTCATCACCCGTTACACACCCGGAAAAACTCCTTCCTGTCTGTCCAGAATTTCTGCCACAATCACTACCACTTGTCTGACTTTTTGCTATGTTTCCAACCTCTGTCTCCTTCTGTCCCAACCTTATCATCATTATTATTATTATTAACGAGATTGTGGCACGTGCCAGCGTTGTGCTAAGCACTCTACTCATGCCATCTAATTTCATCTTTTGAACAACCTGCGGTGATGTCATCCTGAGTAGACAAGTTTAAAGAGGAGCCTGCCCAGGGCCCATAGCGAGGAAGAGCTTGACACAACCAGGGTCAGCCAGGTGATGCCCAGACCTGGTCCCTGCTGAGGCCCAGTCCACGGGCAGCTCCTCAGCTTCTGTGCCATGCATTATCTTCCCCAACTGGTGTGAGGCCAGTGAAGACAGCCCTCGGTCTGAGTCAGTTTCCCATTGCCTGTGCCCAAGATGGGCCTGACACACTTTGGCAAACACGTGGGCACCACTTTCTTACAGTCTTGTACTTTGTGCATGTGAGTTTCATCTTCCAGATACACAGACCAAGAAAGTACCTTCTAGATACTGGCTTTCTCTAGAACACTCTCTAGAGCTGACCCTTCAGAGTGCAGAATCCAGGGTGGCGCATGCCCCTACCTGCTGACTTAACCCCAATACTCATGTGTCCAGGCATGAGTCCCGGTCTCTTGTTCTCCTTCTCTGGGCAGGAGCATTAGGAGCACCCCCACCTGTCCTCTGCACCCAAAAATTATGGTCAGTTCCTCTGCCACAAGGGAAGCCTGTCCTCACGGGCAGCTGGAAAGAAGGGTAGGCTACAAATGCCTGAGACTGGCTAGGAACAAACACATCATGGTGGAAATGGCCGACCCCTTTACTGTCCCAGAAGATAGGAGGAAGGCCCAGTAAGCTTGGAGCAGGTCTCAAGCTCTATGAGAAGCAGCAGCTTGTGGGAGCATTTACTTGCAGGACATTTTTGAGTCCAGTCCAATTTTAAAAATAACTATTCACTAGCCCCCACAGGAGCCTTGGTGGCACAGTGGTTAAGACCTTGGCTGCTAACCAAAAAAGGCCAACAGTTCAAATCCACCAGCTGCTCCTTGGAAACTATGGGGCAGTTCTGCTCTATAAGATTGCTTCGAGTCAGAATCGACTCAACAGCAACAGATTTTTGGGTTTAGTCCCCATAGAGGCTCCTGCCTCATATTCTTCCCCCCACTATCATAACGAGTATGGCTTATCTTCCCAATGACTCAGTGAGCCTATCCATCAGAGAGAAGCTACAGCCAGCTGCTTGCTCACTCAACCATGGAAGGTCATTTCCCTTGTGCCAGGCCTGACAACTCCCTTACCGCAGCAAAGACAAACCCATCGCCTTACTGGAGAGAAACAACCCAACAATGGCTTATCATCTAAGAAAGCATGTGTGGAAATATGTGCGTGGTGCAGTAGGGGACACGGAGGAAGGGTATGGGGGTATGTAACTCATATATTTTGCAAACCAAGCTCAAATAATTAGTGCAAATGCAAATCATCTTGTTTTAAATCCAGTTTGGTATAAAAAGAAAATTAGTAACTGCAGGAATGGGCTTCATGCCCACAGCCAGGAACCCAAGGTGTCATGGGGCCCAAAACCCTCCTTTTACAGACGGGAAACCTGAGGTCATACAACAATTAAGAGGTGTTCTCTATCAAGTGCTCTCCAAACCGTGTGAGGGGGAATAGCAACTCAGCTCCACAGAAACACAGGTTGTTAATGTCAACCTTCACAACAGAAGGATTCAGGGAGAGCCAGGCAGAGCCTGAGGCTAGAGGGCTGGTCTGCCACTTGGACGTGTCCTCACAGGGTGACCTGCCTCCAGGGGAAGGCAGTTCTCACCAGATTCATGTAAACCACCTCCAACAATCTTACTCCATTCCTGCAGTTCACCACTGCCACTTACCTGAGTTTTGAGAATCTCCCAGGTATCTCCAAACCATTAGCTATTGGTAGGCAATATGAAGGATGGCAATCAGATGGCCCCAGAACTGGGACGAAAAGGGTCCCAGTGCTGTTACAATCTAAATCTCAGTTGTGTTATTTCAGAACTTCATTTGGGAACATTTAAAAACGGGATGGTTTCACAAGTCACTGGGTCCATATTCCCATGTGGCAAGAATAAATTGGAGCTTTGTTGAGGCTGTTGCCTTAAGCTAGGGCATTTCCTCCAACTAACCACTGCTGTACACCCCACCACTCCTTACAGCCTCATCCCTGTCCACTTTACTCATTGATGCTCCCTCCCACAGGCATGCGAGGTAGCAACCAGACTCTGAATCAACACACACTAGTCCAAACTAGTCCAAAGTTGTGAAGACCTACATCAGGGAGACTGGACCAGGCTGAAAGCCTTCATATGTCTGAAGAAGAAACGGACACTCAGAGGGGACTGTCGGCTGTGGAAACCTAGCAAGGGACAGATCATCTGATCCAGGGTACCGTTGCCTAGCCATGAAAGAAAGCACTGTCCCCTAAGGGGCACCTCTGTTCTATGGTGAAGTTAAGGCCATGAGGGCCTGGGCCACAAGACATGTGGACACCTCCTTCTGCCACTGACCCTGGCACCAGGCCACCTTCTGAGGAGCCCTGAGCATCTCTCACCTCGTGCCTACAGGGAGAGTGCATGCTGTTGCAGGTCTCACCCTGCGAGGACACGTCCAAGTGACAGACCAGCCCTCTAGCCTCAGGCCCTGCCTGGCTCTCCCTGAATCCTTCTGTTGTGAAGGTTGACACTAATAACCTGTGTTTCTGTGGAGCTCAGTTGCTACTCCCCCTCACACAGTTTGGAGAGCACTTGATAGCGAACACTTCTTACTTGTTGTGTGACCTCAGTTTTTCCGTCTGTAAAAGGAGGGTTTTGGGCGCCATGACATCTTGGGTTCCTGGCTGTGGGTGGGTGTGAAACCCATGTGAATGACGCTGGCTGGGTGCAAAAGCTCTCACTCACCTTGGCGGTGACCTGCCCCGAGGCCCCTCCTCCCTGGGGCCTCCCTACCTTTGTGTCTATAGAAGAAGCTGCTAACCAAAGCCAGAATGGACAGTGTGATGAGGTCTCCTAGGCTGGCTGCAATGGGTGTGGCGATGTTGTCTGGGTTGACCCTGAACTTCCGAGCTCCAATCACTATACAGACCATCAGTATTCCTGCAGAGACAGATGGGAGAGAAAGGAGATTCAGATGCCAGGAAGTCAATGACTCTGAGAAGGCTCGGGGACACAAGGGGCTATGGCATCGCGATGTGACAGAAGCAGGCCATGAAGCTGCCTACCAGCTCATTGGACATCTGTCCAAGCCTCGGTTTGAAGCCAGGCTGCCACAATGCGTTCAGAGTTTCTCCCACTACCCTGGAGGACTGAAATGGCTGGAAGAGCTAGATCTGCTTTGAGACTGGAAGAGTTAGATCTACTTTGAGATTGTGGGGAGGTGGATGCTAAGAAGTGGCCAGAAAGCTTTTTTTTTTCCTTTGAATTTTTATAATTTATTTTATTTCTATTATTGCTGTTGAGAATATACACAGCAGAACATACACCAATTTAACAATTTCTACATGTACAATTCCGTGACATTGATTACATTCTTGGAGCTGGGCCACAATTCTTACCCTCCACTTCCTACCCCATTAACATAAACTCACTGCCCTCTAAGGTTCCTATCTAATCTTTTGAGTTGCTGTTGTCAGTTTGATCCCATATAGACAGATCTTAAACGCTCAAGGCAGCACTCTACTAGTTAGGCTAAACTATCGTTTGGTTTTAAAGACTTTAGGAGATATTTTTGGTTTAAGATTTAAAGATTATCTCAGGGCAATAGTTTCAGGGGTTCATCCAGCCTCCATGATTCCAGAAAGTCTGGAGAACCTTCTATAGTGTCCTCAATCAAAATGTTCAGTAATGTGCTAAACATCTCACAACATGGATGAATCTGGAGGGCATTATGCTGAGTGAAATAAGTCAATCACAAAAGGACAAATATCATATGACCCCAAAAAACAAAACAAACCAACTGCTGTTGAGTTGATTCCAATTCCTAGCGACCCTATAGGACAGTTTCCAAGGAGTGGCTGGTGGATTCAAACTGCTGACATTTTGGTTAGCAGCCAAGCTCTAAACCACTACTCCACCAGGGCTCCTAATATTGTATGAGGCCACTATTATAAAAACCCAAGAAAAGGTTTACACACAGAAAAAAACAAACTTTGATGGTTATCAGGGAGGGGAGAGATGGGGAGGGGAAATCACTAACTAGATAGTAGACAAGTGTTAAGTTTGGTGAAGGGAAAAAACATACAATATAGAGGAAGTCAGCACAACTTGACAAAGGCAAAGTCAAAGACGCTTCCTAGACACATCCAAACACCTTGAGGGACGGAGTTACTGAGGCTGAGGGCTGGAGACCATGGTCTAGGGGGACATCTAGGTCAACTAGCATAACATACTTCATTAACAATATAGTTCTACATCCTACTTTGGTGAGTAGCATCAGGGGTCTTAAAAGCTTGCAAGTGGCCATCTAAGATACATCTATTGGTCCCATCACGTTCAGAGCAAAGGAGAATGAAGAAAATCAAAGACACAAATCTATCCTGCTAATCCAAAGGAGTAATGGACCACGTGAACCTCATCCTCTACCAGCCTGAGCCCAGAAGAACTCGATGGTGCCCAGCTACCACCACCGACCACTCTGACAGGGATCACAAGAGACAGTCCCAGACAGAGTGGGAGAAAAATGTAGAACAAATGATCAAAGTCACAAAAAAGACCAGACTTACTAGTCTGATAGAGACTGGAGGAACCCTCAAGACTATGGCCCCTGGACGCCCTGCTAACTCAGAACTGAAGTCAAAGATTAGACAGGCCTATAAAACAGACAATAACGTACGTGAGGAATGTGCTTCTTAGTTTAATCAAGTATACGAGACCAAATGAGCAATTCTTGTCCAAAAGCAAAGACAAGAAGGCAGGAACGGACAGGAAAACTGGACAAATGGACCCAGAGAACCCAGGGTGGAAAGGAAAAGGGGGAGAGTGCTAATACACTGTGGGGATTGCAACCAATGTCACGATACAATTTGTGTATAAATTTTTGGAACGAAAAACTAATTTCCACTGTAAACCTTCACCTAAAACACAAAAAACAAACAAAACTCTTCCGTAATGGTAGCCAGGCACCATCTAGTTTTTTCTGGTCTCATGGTAAAGGGGGCAGTTCATGGAGGCAATTCCATTTCCTTCTATTCCCGACTCTCCTTCTTCCTCTGTTGCTCCAGGCGAATACAGACTAATTGTTGTACCTTGAATGCTGCCAGAAAGCTCTGATGACACCCTCCAGCAAACCAGCAAGAGAGCCAGGGCAGGTCACCTGTAACTACTAAAGTGCATGCTTGTGGCCCCATGATGCTCTGAAGGCTACTCCAAAACTGCTCTAAGCAATAGTGCCCGAGGGACTGGGCACAGGCCTCCCTTGTCTGTCCAGATCTTCTGAGAAGCAGACACCATGATGAGATTAGTGTGCCAGATGGGTTAGGGCCAAGCCTGTGCGGGGAATGAGGAGGGAAGTGGGGGACTGGGAACAGCCAGACCGCCATGCTGGCTGGACCCTAGGGGAAGAAAGAGGGAAAGAAGGAAGGAAGGAGGTGTAAGCACTTTCGTAGGCAGTGCAACACCAAGGCCATCAGCAAGGCTGTGAGAAGCCCTCACGCCACATCCCTCAAGCATGCAGCACCCAGGTGGGGGCTGAGAGTGCCCATGGTGATGACTGTCACACAGTCAGAGAGCTCAGTGGTGCACCTTTTTGGCATCATACCTGTGAAGTTCCACTTAGTTCTGTTTTAGAAAGCTTACATCACAGCTCATCTTTCCACCCCACTACGCCACCTCCTAGCATTTAATTCAAGAGAATTTTATTTGGTTCTCTAAGAAGATACTTTGTATCTTGACTATTGGTATTTTAACACTTTCCAGGATCCTGTAATTCTATAAATAATTAAAATTATCATCTGCAATTGGTGTCTGATTTCCATGACCAGGTCATGGCTACTACCTGAAATATCAATCTCAGTGAAGGTCTGCATGAAGGAAACCACTGGTCGGGGGTGTTTGTTAATGATGACAACGATGGCACCTGGCTTTATGTTACAGTCACTTCCAGGTTGCACTGTGAGCCCTGGCAATATTTCTCAACTTTCACACATCTCTGGAACAGTACTGATAGGTCCATGCTGATGAGCTTCTCCGGTCTCTGGGCCTCAGTTTCCCCATACGTAAAATGAAGATGTAGGAACAGTGTGCTCCACAAGGCCCTACGATTTTGTTACTTTCTGAACAGACTTCATGCCACACGTCTGCTGGGCTCTGCTTCTTTGGAAGGTGTGGCCTATTCACTCTCCATGCTTTGACCACGCTGGATAGCAGCCTCCAACCTCTGTATACACATATGTAGGCATGTGGCCCGGAGCGGACCTCACAAACATCTAGAAAAGGGGAGCTCAGGTTGCAAATCTGTAATTGGGCTTTCATGTACGCTTTTTCTCAAGTCGAGCTCTGTCTTGATCATATGTACTAGCACATGAATGTACCTGGTAGGCTTCCTAGTAGGGGCAAGAATCCACCAAGTAACTCACAGTTTTGACCTACAGAGACGTGAGATCAAAGACATTTAGTGAGCAATCAGATGGGGGATAGAAGGGTAAGTAAAAGTTGCTCCATGGAGTTACCCGGAGTTACCCATCGTTCCTTCTTGTACCGCACAAAAAACAAGGCACCTGTTGGCAAGGTACACAGAGACACACCACTCAGACAGGTCCAGAAGAGAAGCCGGATAAAGCATATTGTTCAGCAAACTTGTGGGAGCTGGTTAGATGCCTTGCCCTGCTTTAAGTGCTGAGAACAGAAATAAGGCCCTGTACTCACATAGCATTCATGCTTCCGGGGTGGGGAACAGATGGTAAACAAGTAAATGAACAAGCATTTGGAAGTAAATAAAACAGGATCCTCAGGTAAAGTGTGCCTGGGGAGGGAGGATTCTTCAGAGTGTTCCCAGAGAAGGCCTCCCGTGGGTAGTGACATTCAACACTCACTTGAAATAATCTATGTGCTCACATATTTATTGTCTGCCGCTGCACTATAAATACACATCAAAGACCAGGATCCTTGTGCACTTTGTTCACCAGTGTATCTCCAGCACCTTGAACAGTGCCAAGCACATGAGAGATTGAATAATGACACCATACTGTAAATACATGTCAACTGTGGCTTCCCCACTAAAGTATGTGCCTCCCCAAGGACAAGGACTATGTCTGCCAATGACTCTGTCCCTGGCCTCTATAGACATTCATTAAGCACCTACTATGTGTCAGATGGAGCCCTGGTGGCGCAATGGTTAAGAGCTTAGCTGCTAACCACAAGGTCAGTGGTTCGAATCTACCAGCTGCTCCTTGGAAGCCCCATGGGGCAGTTCTACTCTGTCCTGTAGGGTCGCTATGAGTTGGAATTGACTCGATGGAAACGGGTTTGGTTTATATGTGTCGGGCACTATAATAGGAGATGCTAGGTCCCTGCTCTTGAGAAACCAACATTTTAGCAGGTAGATGAGACAGAAAATGAACAAAGAACCATGCAAGATAATTTTGGATGTTCGTAAGTGTTCTAAAACGAAAATGGTGACATGGTGGGGAATGCAGCAGTGGGGAAGAGGGGAAGGGAATGGAACTGTTGAAAGGGTGATCAGGAAAGAAGTGGAATCCGGCTGAAGCCTGAGCCGTTGCAGAGCCTGGAGTGCAGTTGGGCTCAGGAAATGTATAAAGACAGAGTGAGAAAATAACTGGATGAACAAGCCTTCTGTGTTCAAGGTGCCCAAGCATAGCGTGGGTCAAGAGTGACCACAGCAAAAACACGTCTGCAGGGCAAAGGCCACTTCTTTCAACAGCAGACGGAGGAGGAGCGGAGTCAGCAGCTCCCTCTGGCAGACGAGCCTGCCTAGGAGAGGGGTGCGTACCCTCCTCTCCTGCCCACCTGATGGCTGTGAGAACCCAGCAGGCTCTGCCCACGCCCATAGGATGCCTCAAGCCCCCTCTTAGCATCCCCGTCTCTGGAATCTCCGGGACATGGAAAAGGCAGATAGCTGGGCACAAAGCCCCGGACAGCTGGACAGGCGAGCAGCCGGCAGGGGGATGCTGGGGTGGGGGTGAGCTCACCTAAGGCCAAGGAGGCGAGAAAGGCAGTGAGGACACTGCTGGCACACAGCAGCCCCATCTTTGCAAAGTCCACCTCCTCACTGGACACCGCTCCCAGCAGCAGGGCAGCCACAGCAGCCAAGAGCCCCACGATGGTGGCCTGAACCTGTCAGAGCAGAAATCAAAAACATGAAGCAAGGTGTCCCTGGTGCACAGCCACCCCCCTCCATTCACTAAGTCTCCTCGGGGACTTTGTGGGGTATGCCACCTGCCACTGCCTCCTCCTCATCCTAACAACTGCTAAAGGCCCTTCAACCCCGGGAAAACACATAAAACCTTCCTTCAGCCCGGGTCCTTTGTAAACCACTGCTTTCTACCTTGTCAGACACCATTTTTAATTGTGGAATCTATATCTTCTACCCTGTTAAGGCTGCCCAGTCTCTTGTTCAGGAACCCCCTCCAAGTGCTCTGAGCAAAACTGCTGTCACATCTCTGCAGCACGCTCTCACATAGGAACCTCCGCGATCCCAGCACAAGCTCAGAGGCCGTCCTGCACACTTTCTGCCTCTCTCACAGACTTCTCTTCCTTTGCACTTTCCCTTTCTCTGCGTTTTCCTCCAGGGAAATCCCACCTGAGCTCCCAGCTCTGTCCTCGTAAGGACAATACCTCTGTTGCTTGCTCAGATCCTGTACCAGGATGTGCCCCAGATCTAAACACCAATACTAGCACTCCTAATTCAGAATGTCTACAATGAAACATTTATTAATGAAGGCTGAATAAACAAAGAGCTCCACCAGGTATATGGATGAGAAAAGTCTGTATTTCAAAGATGAAAACTGCCCCCCAAGTTTATATAATTTCAAAGTCCCAATAAGCTTTTTCATGGCACTTGACAACTAATTTTAAATTTCGTAAGGATGAGTAAATGTGCCAAGAAAACTTTGAGAAAAACAAAGAGGAGTATTTGTCATATTCATTATCTATGTATTTTAAAGCTATAGTAATTAAACAGTGGGATATTGGCAGAAGATAGACAAATAGATCAGTGGGATAGAATAGAGTTCAGAAAAAGAATCACGAATATATGAAAGTATATTATGACAAAGGTGGCGTTTCAAATCAGTATGGAATGGATAACTATTAAATAAATACAGTAAGGGAAACTGGATAACTGTTTGGGAAAAATAAATGGATCTCTTCTTCCTACCATACACACACCCCCCTCAACATAAAAACCCAAAGTGTGTAACAAAAGAAAATATACAATAATATGCTTAAGACTTTGGATTAGAAAGGTCTCCCTCTAAAGAGACAACATGTAAAATCCATATAGCAAAATAGAGATAAAATTTATCTGTCTAAATATGACTTCTATATGATAAAAGTTCAAAGACAGGAACACACAGGGAGAAAATATTTCTAACCTATATAACATATAAAATATTTCAAACATATATGTAAGTCCAGAGGAGCCCTGGTGGAGCAATGGTTAAAGTGCTTGGCTGCTAACCAAAAGGTCAGTGGTTCAAACCCACCAGCTTCTCCGTGGGAGAGAGATATGGCTGTCTGCTTCCGTAAAGATTTATAGCCTTGGAAACCATATGGGGCAGTTCTACTCTGTCCCATAGGGTAGCTATGAGTCAGAATCGACTCAACAGTAGTGGGTTTGCTTTGGGGTTATATGTAAGTTCAGCTTACGAATAAAAAAACAAAGATAACCTGATAGAAAAATGCGTAAGAGATATGTATAGGCAACTCACAGAAAAGGAAATACAAATGGCTAAGGAATGTATGAAAAGACTTCCCTAGTAATAAGGAAAATTCACAATTACATCCCAATTTGAAGATACCTTATATATTCATTTGTAACTGATGTTGGTCTTCCTCTACTGAAAGATAAACTCATTGCCATTGAGTCGATTCCCACTCACAGCAACACTATAGGACAGAGCAGAACTGCCCCATAGGGCTTCCAAGGAGCAGCTAGCGGATTCGAACTGCTGACTTTTTCGTTAGCAGCGAGCTCTTAGCCACTATGCCACCAGGGCTCCGTTTAAAAGATAAGCACTGTCTTATTTTCTGCTGGGGTCCCCAGCTCTGAGAACAGAGTCCAACACTCAGCAGGTACTCTCACATGCTCACCAAATGAATGAATGAATGACACAATTTTTTTTAACCTATTAGACTAGGGAAAATGAAAGCTTAAAAGATTGATAATATAAACTATAGAGTGACAAATAATGTGGAAAAATTATTCTCATACACTGATGGTGATAAAAATTGGTACAGGAATTTTGGGGGTAATTTGGCTGTAAATTATCCATGTACCTTATGATCCAGCATCTTTCCCAGAGAAGTATTTGTACATGTGTGCAAAGAACCAGGTAATATTAGCAGATTAGAAGCACATAGTTACTTAGTGCTTACTATATGCCATGCACTATTTAAAGTGAATTCATTCATTAAGTCATTTTTAAGAGAAAAGAACAAGTGACAGTATTACACATACAGTATAATACTTTTTATGTACAAAAAACACAGAAAATCATACCACAGATTATCTGTGGACAAATAACAATTAATATTTGAGTAACATTTGAATTGGTTTCTCCATAACCTCACCAGCACTGAAAGTATTCCTCCAAACCACTTTTTGCATTCCCATATACTGTATTTTTATGAAAGTAACGCATGCCTTTTACGTTTGTTTGCCAACTGGTCCCTCCCCCTGCAAGGTATTTTCATCAGCGCTCTATGTTAATTTTTTTTTTTTACAGCAACATGTAGAAAAGAATTGACATAGTGGCACTTATGAAAATATCTTGCTGGGGGAGGAAGCAGCTGGAAACAAACGCAGAAGGCGTGCGTCACTTTCGTAAAAATACAGTATATGGAAATGCAAAAAGTGGTTTGGAGGAATACTTTCAGTGCTGGTGAGGTTACGGAGAAACTAATTCAAATGTTGCCCAAATATTAATACTAGTACTAATGATTTAATGCTAAGAATTCAAATATTTTGCAATCCTGTAAGGAAAAATCTAGAGGCTTAAACTGATTGTACTCTTTGCGGGAAGTTATTTTAAGAAATTCATACAAAAAGACAATGTTTCCATTGCAGTATGAATTATCAAGTGAAAGACTAGAAACAACACAAACCAGACCTATGTGGAAATGGCTAAGTGAAGTAAGCCAGAGGTGACACTCAGCAGGTTTGCGTAGGAGAAACCAGCGACGCTCTAACTGACTGGCTTTCCCTTTAACTGGTCAATCCCCATGTCTTGCCAGCTGGTAGACATTTTGAATATCACCGTTGGGTGACAGAATATGCTAAAGTTATTTAAAAGTTTATTATGAAACATTGCACCATTTATGACTCAACGTCAAGCATTCTAAGAAATGGCGGAGACAAAATTATATCCATGCTATGATTAGGACTACGAGCCAAGTCAAGGCCTGGCTCAGAGCAGGGATCAATAAATATCTGTTGAGAATCAATTATATGCAAATGTGCATACATAAGGGAAAGGATTTGGTGGAAAATCGAAAAGTAAAAACAATGTGACTTGTAGCTGAGTTTTTAGAGCATTTATGCCCTTTTCCTTCCTAGATCCTTTGTTAGGGACATCATAAGCTGTCTTATTTAATCTCCAGAGCTCTTCAGTCCCAGGACGTGGTCCTGGCCCCTGAGACTCACCTCAAGTCGGGGAAGAAGACATATAAACAAAGAATTGCAACACAAGTGGCAAGTACAACCCCAGTAACGTGTGCAAGGCACCAAAGAAGTAAAGAGAGAGAGGGACCAACCGTACTGGTATCAGATTGGAATTTAGACCTCATTAGATTTTTAAGGAAACCCTGGTGGCGTAGTGGTTAAGGGTTCAGCTGCTAACCAAAAGGTCGGCAGTTCGAATCTACCAGGCGCTCCTTGGAAACCCTATGGGGCAGTTCTACTCTGTCCTATAGGGTCGCTATGAGTCAGAAGTGACTCGACAGCAATGGGTTTGGTTTTTGGTTTGGGTTTGGAGTCTTTAAAGAGCTTCATTGCTAGGTATACAGAGGAAAAAGGACATTCCAAGGAAAGATAACTGCGTGTGCAAAAGCAGGGAGGTGTGAAGTGTGCATGATGTGAAATTTCTTGCGTGTACAAAAAGACTTCCCTAGTAATCAGGAAAATTTAAAATTATATCCCAATTTGAAGATACCTTGTTCATTTGTAACTGTGTTGGTCTCCCTTTATTAAAAGATAAACCAAACCCGGTGCCAACAAGTCGATTCCGACTCATAGCGACCCTATAGGACAGACTAGAACTGCCCCATAGGGTTTCCAAAGAGCACCTGATGGATTCGAACTGCCGACCTTTTGGTTAGCAGCTGAGCTCTTAACCAGTATGCCACCAGTGCTCCATTAAAAGATAAGCACTGTCTAGGAAACCCAGCTGGCATAGTGGTTAAGAGCTAAGGCTACTAACCAAAAGGTCGGCAGTTTGAATCTACCAGCCGCTGCTTGGAAATCCTGTAGGCGGTTCTACTCTGTCCTATAGGGTTGCTATGAGTCGGAATCAACTCAATGGCAATGAGTTTGGTTTTTTTGTTTCTTTTTTAATTTTCTACTGGGGTCCCCAGCTCTGAGAACAGAGTCCAGCACTCAGCAGGTACTCTCATATGCTTACCAAATGGATGAATAAGTGAATGAATGAGACACATTTTTTTTTAACATATCAAACTAAGTAAAATGAAAGCTTAAAAGATTGATAATATTGAAGTACATAGTGAAAAATATGTTCTGGAATAGAGCTACTTTCTGCTTTGGTCGATGCCCATCTTTCCCTCATGTGTTGAAGCCAGTCTCTCCTTCCTCTCCTCCTGTCTTGGGCTTCCTGACTCTGTAATACTGTTAGACTCCCAGGATAGAAACTGAACCCAGTTGGCGTCTGACAGAAGGAAGTATAAGTCTGACAAGAGTGTGAAGCATTTGAGGTACAGACAAAGAAGAGGACCCCAAGAAGGTTGTATGTGTGTGTGTGTGAGGGGGTGTTGACTGCAAATGAGGATGGTGAGGTGGGCAGGGGCCAGGCCATGTAGGCTCACATGTGGACAAAGGGAAATCTACAAAGGGGTTTAAGGAGGAAGAGGCATGGTCAGCGAGGGGTAAAGAATTTGACTTTACCCAAAGTAATGGGGTCTGAATGCAGGGACACAGGCTCACTTAGCCTTCACCCTTCCTACCTGGGACGGGCCTACTGCAGATTCAGAAAGAGGGAAGGAGCTTCATCAATCTGATAAAGCGAAGATTCACCTGAACAAGGGCAAGGTTACTGCCGATGACTCTGTGCTGCTCTTGAGGATCATCGATTTGTCCAGTGTTGGCCTAGGATGAAAGAAAAAAGAAGAAAGGGTCAGCCTGACTAGGCCCGAAGCAACGTAAATCCTTCCTGGAAAAGGCAGTCTCTCAGGAGAAAAGTCAGGTCAACAAATCTCATCTCACTGATGTCAGAATAAATTACTATGCCCTGTTTTCAAAGCGCTGACCCAACTTTTTGTGGGAAAAGGGGAGAGAGATAAGGACTCAGGCTCCTTTGCAAAATGGATGGGTGTCATGGACCATCTTCCCATGTGCAAAAGCATGAGAACACACACACACACACACACTGCCTACGATTTTAATGCTATCACTGACCTCTCAAAGCTTTTCCATGGGCCACAGGGTAACAGCTCTGACTAGGAACCTTCCCCTTCTCCTCAACCAGGCCTTTGGCCATATTATTCCCTTCATCTGAAAACAGCCTCCAGACAGTCAGATCTTAAATGACCACCAACCCAGCTCAATCTCACCTCTGCAAAGTTACTCTCTGAAAGCCCATAAGTCCCTCTTTTCTTAGGATAAAAAAATAAGGTCAGAAACACAACTTTCTTCTTTAAAAATGGTAGTCTGCTCCTAACAGTACAGCACTTGCCAGCAAAATCCAAGACTTAAATAAAAAAGATCTGAAAGCAAATATGCTCCCCTCGCTCCTTTATACAGAGGCATTGTCCATTAAGCTCCTGAACTCCAAGGAAAGAAATATGAAAATGGGCCTACTGCTAACAAACTTGGTATTTTCTTTTCTTTTCTTTTTTTTTAAATTGTACTTTAGGTGAAGGTTTACAGAACAAAATAGTTTCTCATTAAACAATTAGTACACATGATGCCCTATGACAATGGTTAACAACCCCATGACAGGTCAACACTGGCCCTTCTCAACCTTGTGTTCCCTATCACCAGCTTTCCTGTCCCCTTCTGCCTTCTAGTCCTTGTCCCTGGACTGCTGTGCCTCATTAGTCCTGTTTTGTTTTATGGGGCTGT